CATCTGTGGATCGCGCCTCTTATTATCGGCAGCATTGACCAAAATTTCGTCGAAAATTTTCAGCAATCCCGGTACAATTCGCACTTCTTTCTTCAGCATTCGCTTCGTTACCATATCATACACAAAAACCGGCTAAAAAACAACGATAATTTGCTATTATAGTTACTGATTGTTAGCAAAATTACCCTAAGATATTCCAGGAACAGCAACGCTCCAGAAGAGAAGGCGAAGCTCAACACACACCATGGACTTTCCGAAATAATTGAATCAAATATTCATCCAATATTTATTCATGCCAAAATACATACTTAAGCTTAAAAATGAAAAGTCCATCAAAAGAAAAAAAATGGCTAAAAATTCCTACACTTTAAAAAATAACTATTAATTCTTATATTTATAAAAAGGTAAGATTTTGCCTGCAATCGCCAGATGCTTTCTCAGTAAATTACTGGAAGAAAAAAGTAATGATCGCTACACCAGTAAAAAAGGGCATACTTGCTCATCCGAAAGAAAAGCTGATCCGATGTAGCTGTCTGGACGATAAAGAATGTGCTTCAGCGGAGTTAATCTTTGATATTTCGCAGCCGCTGACTTTACACTTGTACTTGGCTCCTGTGCAGCTGAAATAAACCTTTTCAGGCCCCTGGTCCTCTTCCAGTCTTCAAGCCAGGGATATTCGCTGTCTGTATTTTTAAAATTTCTGAAACACTTAGCTTCTGTTTGTTTTCGCCAAAATTCACTTGCCAGGAGCTGCAAAAAAAAACCTTAATCTCAATAATCCCAAAATGGGTCATCCCAATAGTACTACAAAAACTCTAAAGCATATCTAATAAAAACACATGTACAATCCGTCAATTAAAACTCAGTAATAATTTATATTTGGTAACCTTTATGCCTTAGCTGGTAAAGCAATAGAAATTTATAATAACAAGAAATGAAATAAATAGAAGAATCAAAAAAGAAGGTAAGAAATTCATCGTGATCCAGAAGATGCAAGTTCAATGCTTGAACTCTACACACACCAAGGGCATCTTCAAACCGTTAAAGCTTTACCAAATGCTTCTGTTGGGAAAGACCTTTGAACTGATAATCTTTCCAAGAAGTCAGGGCAATGTGGCATCAAAGGAAGTAAGTGGGAAAGCTAACAATTGCACTATCGGAAAATCGGACCAAGAAATGACAGCTATCCCAGATACTCCAAATAATTTTCCCATCCACAAAAGCTGTCGAAATAATAGACCACAGGGACTGTACTCAGGCGTTATATGTAAGGTGATATTTTACGGTGCAAACTGTCTTTCACCCTTTAGATATAGTAAGGTGATATTTTACGATGCTGTCTCTGTTTTTCATCCCTTAGCTGTAAACACAGACTGGACTATGCATGCGGGTAGGAGTGGGAATCGTCAGTACAGCCTCCTACCCGCCATGTATTGAAAGGACATATAACTAATTTGCAAGACGGATATGTGAAAGAAAGAGAGAGAAGGAGAGAAAGTGCAGTAGCGTGAAAGTAATAAGTGTGATGGAGCAGACAGAAAGAGAGGAAACTAACATATGATACGGGTAGTAATTCTATGTAGTTATGAGGAGGCAACTTTCAAGAGAATAATGTACTAAATTAGGTGTTTAATACTATCGAAGTCATGTGACTTCCTCGAATACTTGCAGTTTTCGGTAGCAAAATGGATTGGATTACGAGAGAACCATCATTCTCTTCTTTTCTTCTAAATTACCTAACATGTT